CTCAAAACAACCCAGTACTGGTCCAAGAACAGGCATATAGATCAATGGAACAGAACAGAGAACCCCGAAATCAACCAAAGCCACTATGCCCAATTAATATTTGACAAAGGAGGCAAGAGCATACAATGGAGCGGAGACAGTCTCTTCAATAAATGGTGTTGGGAAAATTGGACAGGTACATGCGAAAAAAACCACCAACTTACACCATTATAAGAATACAGTCAAAATGGGTAAAAGACTTAAGATGTGAAACCATAGAAGTCCTGGAAGAAAAATCTCAGACATGTCTCATATCAACATGTTTGCTGATACTTCTCCTAGGGCAGTGGTTGGCAAACCGCGGCTCGGTGCCATGTTCACGGATTGGTAGAATCAACGTCATTAAAATGTTCATATTCACAAAGCAATCTACAATGCAATTGCTATTAAAATACCAATGGCATATTTCACAGACCTAGAAAAAAAACTCCAAAAATGTTTATGGAATCAAAAAAGACCCCCAATAGCTGCAGCAATCTTGAAAAAGAAAAACAAAGTTGGAGGAATCACAATACCAGATACCAAGTTATACTAAAAAGCCACTGTGCTCAAAACAACCCAGTACTGGTCCAAGAACAGGCATATAGATCAATGGAACAGAACTGGTCGGTCGGGCCACGGGATACACAGCGCGGGGGAGGTGCGCACGATTCATGCAGGAGTTGAGTGAGCCAGTCAGTCAGCGGTCTCATGTGCAGTGGTTAGTGCTAGTCGCATCAGCAAATTGCGCGCGGTGACAAAAGTACCTGCTCAAAGCATAAAGTTACCTGTATTTTTCCAACCAGCTGCAAATCCTACAGGTATTTTTGTCATCAATTTAAGAATTGTAATTCTTTTGTGTTGGTGGCATTATTATTATAAAATGAAACATTTTTTTAGGTGCCCTATTTGACATAACTACAAAGAAGAAGCAAAGAAAAAACGGAAGACAAAAACCGTGAATTTAAAGTTGAATTTAAAGTTTAATGTACCTACCTATATAGTTTAAGTTTAAAAAATGTGGCTCTCAAAAGAAATTTCAATCGTTGTACTGTTGATATTTGGCTCTGTTGACTAATGAGTTTGCCGACCACTGTCCTAGGGCAATGGAAACTAAGGCGAATCTAAACAAATGAAACTGCATTAAAATAAAAAGCCTCTGCACTGCCAAAAACAAAACAAAACCAAAAAAAGAAAAAACACATCAACAAAATGACAAGAGCCCACTACATGTGAGAACATATTTGCCAATGATTGATCCAATAAGGGGTTAATCTCCAAAAAATATAGGGAACTCATACAACTTAGCAAAAGGAAGACAAACAATCCAATTTAAAAAATGGGTAAAGGACCTAAATTGATACTTCTCCAAAGTGAACATATAGAAAGCCAGGAGACATATGAAAAAACTAGTGGCCCAGTGCCCAAAATTAATGCAATTTAAAAGGGAATTAATTAGAGGAAATGTATTAACATTGCTATTTTCCCTTTCTCTATAATAGAAGTGTCAGAGATGGAAGAAAATTAGTAAAATGTATATGAAAATCTCACTCCTGTCAGAGTCTGGGGCACGCCGCAGGAATCGCATGAGACCCAGGCCTGGCCAGCCCCACCCCTGTCAAGCCCCGCCGGGTGGGGTGCGCGGCCTCAGGTCCCTTGGCCCCGGTGCAAGGGCATGACGACCATTTCATATTAGCTCTTTATTATATAGGATGCTCAAATTCACTAATCATCTGAGAGATGCAGATCAAAATCACAATGAGATATCACCTCACACCTGTCAGAATGGCTATCATCAACAAAGCAACAAATGACAAGTGTTGTGAGGTTGTGGAGAAAAGGGAACCCTAGTACACTGCTGGTGGGAATGCAGACTGATGCATCCAGTGTGGAAAACAGTATGGAGTTTCCTCAAAAAATTAAAAATGGAACTGCCATTTGATCCAGTGATCCCACTTCTAAGAATATATCCTAAGAAACCCGAAACACTCATCAGAAAGAATATATGCACCCCTATGTTCATAGCAGTGCAATTTACAGTAGCTAAGACTTGGAAATAGCCTAAGTGCCCACCAGCAGATGAGTGGATAAAAAGCTATGGTACATTTACACAGTGGAATACTACATGGCAATAAAAAAAGAGGAACTCTTACCATTTGCAACAGCATAGATGGACCTGGAGAGTATTATGCTGAGAGAAATAAGCCAGTCAGAGAGATAAATATCACATAATCTCACTCATATGTGGGATCTATTGAACCAAATAAACTGATGATCAGAAATAGACCCAGAGACATAGAAGCATGAACAGACTGTTGAACCTCAGAGGGAAGGCAGGGGAGGGTGGGTGGGAAGAGATCAACCAATGAACTTGTAAACATATATGCATAACCTGTGGACACAGAATGGGGTGGTGAGGGCCTAGGAGGAGGGGGATGGGAGCGGAGAGGTTAATGGGGGCAAAAGGAGGACTTATGTAATACTTTCAACAATAAAGATTTAAAAAATAAATACAAAAAAGAAAAACATCTTTTTTTTCTTTTTAAACTTTCCAAAGTTGGCATGATAGAAGTGCTTAGTCCCTTAGTTGTAAATGAATATTTCAATAGCTTTGTTGGTAACTTTTAAAATAAGTTTCCTTCACATTTTCTAGGTTACTCTTCAATTTATAAGCTGCTCTTCTCCCCTCTGGTTCCCTCACTTCCTCTGGTTTCGTACTCTAACACATTGTTTGCAGCAGGTAGTTTTTATCGCGCGCTAACAGGTGGCGTGGGCCATTTTTGCAGTTGAATAGATTGATTACCATTATATTTGGAAGTACATACATAATTCACCATTGTATGTGCTAAATACCCAAATTTTGTCCTTTGGGATTCGTATATCTGCATGTTAGCATCCCTTTAGAGCAATAAAAAAGTATAAAAATAAACATATTTATATGTTACCCGCATTCTACTGCTAGTCTATAAAAAACATATTAATACGTGTCCCGTGCTCTACTACCAGTCAACATAAAACGTATAAATATGTTTCCCGCATACAATGTGCTAATTATTCTTCCTCTCTTGCTTCTTCATTCTTTTTATCCACTAGTTCCTTTTCATGGAAGAGCAAAAATGCTCAAACTTTATTTTGTTTATTTTATAAAAACAACTCTCCCATCCCTTATCCCCACTAAAAATATCTTCCTGCTCTTTTCTTCTCTATTGTCTGTTCAAACTAAGAGCATTATCTTCACAGTCATTTCAATCCAACCAAGTTCCATCACATATAAACTATGACCTGAGGGTCATTTCTTAACTTTCCTATCTTGCCATCTTTGTTCATAAAATGAGAATAATAATAGTATCCACCTCGTGGGTTTGATGTAAGGAAAAAATGGTAGTAACTGAGTTTTAATATACATAAAGCTTTTAGTATAGTATTGGGAACACAATAATTCAGTAAATTTCAGGTGATTTTATATTATTCACCAATAAATCTCCCAAAATAATTTATAATCCTTACTCTTTACTTTCTCATTCCTTCTTTAACAAGTATCTCTTTGTACCTTCATAACATAAGTACATTCTCCTGTGGCTTTTACATCCAATCCTGTGGCTTTTGCTCAGTCCTTTCTCTACCCATTAATCACATTGCGTATCTTTAACTCTCTTCTAGAGGTTTCCCTTCTTCGATTTTTCTTTCATCACTTTTACTGTCCTCATTTGTCTCCTTTCCCCCCTTTATTGTCCTCTTGTTCTCTCCTTTACTTTTTTCTTCATTCCCCTAATTTTTGTTCTCCATTCTGTGGTTTGTCCTCTTTTTCTCCATTCTCTTCCTTGGTAATTACAACCCTCTTTACTATCACCTTCCAGAGCCTTTCTCCTGAGTCCAACTTTCTCATATATATTAGGGGGTCCCTTAACACCACAAAGAGAGTATAAACACAACTAAACACTCTTTATTTCCATCTAAACGAGGTCTTATTCTGGACGTTTTTATTTCTATTCATGGTAGAACCATATTCAAAATCTCAGTCATCTTCTGACTTTTCCTTTGTCCCTTACATCTTAAACAATTGGAAGTGCAGAATGTTCCCAGGATGATTACCTTTTGCAGAACTAAATGTAGCTTTGATTGACTGTTGCTGAATTTTTGCTGTCCACATTAACATTTCTTTAAATTTTCTTACAAGTTTGTTATTCCCTTCTTTCAAGGGAAACTTTATTATCCACGATCCTTTCCCACCCCACCTCCAGGCCCTTTGTGTTGTTCACCTGGCTGGCCTCTCCAGCTTTACCATCTATTGTCCGTTATTTATTCCTCCACACACTTGTTCCCCATTCAAACCAATTTCCTATATAAGCATCCACGTCTTTGCTTATGCTTTCTTCATCTAAAATGCGTAGATATGTTTTAAAGACTTTTACTAATGTGTCAGACGTAGATATATAGCATTTTAAAATATAGCTTTCCTGACATGAAATTTTAATTAAAATATTTTTAATTCAGATCTTCCTTTAAAAAATCAGTTTAGATATTAATAAGGTAACAAACTATGATCTTAATAAACTAATCTTTAAATAAATATCATGTTATGTTTACAAGAATATGAAGTGTCTCTAAGAAGTTTGAGGGATCCAATCTGCCTTTATTACTGTTTCTCTGATTTAAATGTAATTATTGTCTTGAATGAGACCTTTCAAATATTTTTTCTTATGTAGATATCCAGAAATTCTTTAGTGTTGAGTATACAAATCTAATATGAAATAAGTAATGTTATACTCTGACGTAATGGCACATATCAAACATACAGTACTCATATAATAAACTTTTCTCCTGATCAAATGCTGCTGTTTTCTGCCTTGCATTTTTTACTGTATTTTAAAGTGTGTATTACATGGGCTTTTTGTATTTTATATAGGTTTCTTTTATTCTCACTGAGAGTGACTAGGGAGATTGCATTTCTAATTTTTCCTTCTTTTTTTTTCTTTACCCAGGGCTTTTTTCTTACCGTTTCACCAGAGTCGGTGTTAAAAGTGGCTCAGCATGCTTCTGCGAACAACAGAATTTTCACTTTGAACCTGTCTGCACCATTTATTAGTCAGTTCTACAAGGAACCATTGATGAAAATTATGCCTTATGTTGACATACTTTTTGGAAATGAGACAGTGAGTTACTCTTTTTCCTTTTTTTTAAGTGCCTGTGCTTTTTGGTTTCTGGTTTGTGTATAAGTTTAGAAATTATATAAATAAAAACCAAAACATTTACATACATATATTTGAGAATTATACAATAGAACTGCCTAATTTTGGAACATTAATTCAATATTTCCAGTATTTCCTTCAGGATATGTTAATTTCTTACATAGTAAAAAAAACTGTTTTTAAAGGGGTAGGTTATTGAAGTTTATAATTTACATATAGTAAAATTCACTCTTTTTACCATACATTTCTATGAGCTTTTGCAAATGCAATAAATCTGATGTATAACCATGACCCCAGTCAAGATAAAAACCACTTTCATCACTACCCATTTTAGTCAACCCTTCTCCCCATCCTGAGCCCTTGACATAAACTAATTTGTTTTCTGACCAGTAAAATAATGTTTTCCTCTGAAATTTTCATGGATTAAGGTAAGAGACATCTAGTTTAAAATAAATGTTTTATGAAGTTAAGTAGCTCTTCAAAGTGTGGATCTAATTTAATAAATTATGAGTAAATGTTTATATGTTATAATTTGAATTAAATCTCTTTATTAATAGTATCATTTTTGCTAATATTTATATGTTATATTTGATGGTGATGAATGGAATTGTATTTGAACTTTTGCAGCCTTTTCTTTTTATCAAGAATATACTTTAATTCTAAATTAGTGGAAAATAGTTTTTTTTTCCTCGTTTAGATTTAGAGCTTTTGTCTAACCTGTATACTTTAATAATCCAGGAAATAGGGAAAAAAGAGAACTTTAGTGTATCTTCATTTGACCTGGGCAGTATTACTTAAATTTCATGAATCCTGGGGTCTTTATATGTAAACATGTTCTTAATTATACCAGAAGTCTATTCTAATTCTAATTCCATGGTTCTAACATAGTTTGGTTGTATTCACTGATTTTGTATCTAAATGAGATCACTGTGTTGTCTTCCTAGAATAACATCAAATATAACCTGGAAATAATTAATGAAATCAACCTGGATGATTTCTAGTAAGAATATGGTAGGAATATCTTTAAAAGCACTAACAAGTCAAAGGAAATGCTACATTCTTGATGATTTACAAACTAACTTAATGGCAAGAAGTAGTGGTAAAAGCCTTAAATTCCTATGTATCTCCTAGAAGTCTCATTTGACTAAAATATATCTTTTAGATTTTCCTTATTGCCAGTTTTATTTTCTGAAGGGTACAGGAAGTAACTAGGAAAAGCGCTACTCTAGCCCTTTAAATAACATGAAAGAATTGGTCATCAATATGGTAGTCTGAGAATTTGGGGAGAAATTGATGCTTTGACTTCTTTTCTTGTTTTTCTTTTTTTTTTTGCTTTCAGAGAGGAAGGGAGAGGAAGAGCGAGATAGAAACATCAATAATGAGAGAGAATCATTAATTGGCTGCCTCCTGCACGCCCCCTACTGAGGATCGAGCTGGCAACCCCAGGCATGTGCCCTTGACTGGAATCGAACCTGGGACCCTTCGGTCCGCAGGCCGACGCTCTATCCACTGAGCCAGACCAGCTCTTTATAGTCAGAAAAGATCAGACTGGTGATACGTAAATAGATGCTCTAGACTAGAGTCTACTCTAGACTTTAAGAAGACAAACTTGTAAAAACCTTTTTAAAAGATAAATATGATTCCAAAGAATCAGACTTCAGATGTAAAGACAACTTGAGAGTTTTGAAAACAATCAAAAATTCAACTCTGACTTTATAATCTCAAATGACCTTAATTAGGAAGAAAATGGGAGGAATCTTAAGAAAACAGTACAGAGCACATAGAAAACTTTAATAAGAGCTTCCATTTATTAAACACAGGTAAAAAAAAGAAAGAAAAGAAAAGAGAAAAGAAAAGATAGAAAGCATTTCTAAAACCAGGAAACAGTGCTAAAAGTTTTACAGAGGTATATGAGAATAGAAAAGAATAGAAGCCCTAAAATGATTAGATTTGCAGAAAATGCTAATGATATAAAAATGGTCTTTACTTAAAAAAAAAAAATGACTCCAAGGGCACAGACAACAACAGAAAAAGTAATTGGACTTCATCAAAATTGAAATGTTTGTGCATCAGAGGACACTTCCTTTTTATGTTTATATATTTTTATTTATTTCAGAAGGGAAGGGAGAGAGAGAGAAAAACATCAATGGTGAGAGAGAATCATTCATTGGCTGCATCCTGCACGCACCCGACTGGGGATTGAGCCCACAACCCAGGCACTTGTCCTGACCGTGACCTCCTACTTCATAGGTGATAATGCTGCACCACTGAGTCACACCAGCTGGGCAAAGGACACTTTTAAGAAAGTGAAAAAGACAATCCATGGAATGGAAGGAAAGATTTATAAATAATACATCTGATAAGGAATTAATATCCAGAATATATGTCTTAACAACAAGAAAATAGTCAACCCAATTCCAAAATGATCAAAGAACTTGGTAAACATTTCTTCAAAGAAGATATCTAGCAAGCACATAAAAGATGCTCACCATCACTGGTCATTAGAGATAGGGATATAAAAGCCAAAATAAGATACCACTTGGCACCCAGGAGGATAACTAATACCAAAAATATGGAAAAACAAATGTTAACAGGATGTGTAGAAATTAGAACCCTTGTGCATTGATGGTGGGAATTGAAAGGCTGCAGGAAAACAATTTAGTGGTTCCTCAAAAAGTTAAACATAGATTTATTCCATTTGATCCAGCCAGTCCATTTCTCCTTTATACCCCAAATTCCTGAAAACAGGGGTTCAAATACTAATGTTTATGGCAGCATTATTCACAATAGTCAAAAGTTAGAAAAAATCCAAATGTTGTTCCTCATTAGATGAATAAACAAAATTTGGTATATACAGTTGATTCTTGATCAACATGGGTTTGAACTGTGCAGGTCCACTTATATACAGGGGTTGTTTTGTTTTTTTTTTCAATAAATATGAACAGTGCTGCAAATGTATTTTGTCTTATGATTTTCTTAATAGCATTTTCTTTTCTCTAGCTTCATTTATTGTAAGAATGCAGTATATAAAACATATACAAAATATGTGTTAATCAACTGTTAATATTATCAGTAAAGCTTCTGGTCAACAATAGGCTATTAGTAATTTAGTTAAGTTTTGGGGAAGTCAAAAGTTATACAAAGATTTTCAACTGCATGGGGGTCTGGTGCCCCTAACTCCCATGTTATTCAAGAGTCACTGTACATACAATGGAATATATTCTCTAACCTTAAAAAGGAATGTAATTGCAATACGTGTTACAGCATGAACAAACCTTGAAAACATTAACTGAAATAAGCCATAAACAAATAAACAACTATTGGATTTTCCCTATGGCGATTCCACTTATAAGTGGTACCTAGAATAGTCAAATTCATACAGACAAACAGTAGAATAATAGTTTTAGGCATTGGGATAAAGAGGACAACAAAAGTTCTGGAAATAGATAGTAGTGATGGTTGCACGACACTGTTAATGTACTTTATGTACTGAATTTAATACTTAAAATGGTAAAATTATATATTTATATATATATCACATTAAAAAAATGATTCTACAAACCAGCAAAGTTAAAAGTTTGACTGGAACTTGATAGATTATATTAGAACTCATTTTTCCCTACCCAGAAGAGAAAGTGGTAAAATTATAAGCTGCTACATGGCTACAAGTCATGTATGTTTAATTTTTTGGTGTGATTAGTATTCATATGAATTCATTTCAACAGATACATAGTGCTTATTTTGGCAGACCAATAAACAGTGGGTGTATAATATATTTGAGACAACCTGTCATAATATGGACTATAGAATAATAAATATTGGATATAGGGCAATTAGATATATTTGGTGTTTTGTTGAACCAGTTTCAGAAAGCCTGCTGATAAATAGATTTTTAGTAATATGCCTCAAGGTTTACTCGGAGCTTTCATTCGGATAAAGCTGTATTTACAGATAGTGCAGATTCAGAGAATGCAAATAATGCACCACTTTAACAAATATCAGGTAGGTTCAATGTCAAAATGAGTCTTAAAAATTTTAATAGACTGGAAATATCTGTAGAGTGATGAAATTTAATAAGGTTAAATAAAAATGTTACTATATTTTATTATAAAAAGCAAGTATAGTATTGTGAGCTTTATCCCTTTAACCTCATCTCTAATCATTCTTCTCCTTGAATACTCTAGGAATAAGGAACTATCCTCAGTTCTCCTGGAAAAAAAGGAACATTTTATTTCTAAAATGCAATGAAGTGTAAAATGTATTTATTAGGGATTACATATGTATTGTTAAGTCTTTCTCCCCTCTCCTCAATCCACCCCCCCCCCCAAAAATCAAATCCATTGTGCTTCATGTAAATTTTCAAAATGTCAATATTTAGCTAAAACCAAATATATTGGCTCTTATTTTCTCTCTTTTTTTAATCCTCACCCGAGGATATTTTTCCATTGATTTCTTTTTTAGAGAGTGTGGAAGTGAGGGGGCTGGCGGGAGAGAGAAACATCTATGTGAAAGAGACATCATTTGGTTGTCTCCCACACGCACCCCAACCAGGGCCAAGGATCAAACCTGCAACCCAGGTATGTGCCCTTGATGGGAATCGAACCTGCAACCCTTTGTTGCATGGGCTAATGCTCTGTCCACTGAGCCACACTGGCCAGGGTGGGTTATTTTCTACCTGTTGCCACCTTCCCTTTTTTTAGAGGGTCATAAACTAGTAATGATGCTTTAAAACTCTTTTGATAACCTTTAAATTTTTAAAAATGCCTTGTCCACCAAGGCTGTTTCTTTACGGGTAATGAAGGACAGGTAATGTGAGACAAGAAATAAATGAGGTGAGCACTATGATTACCCTATCTTACTGCTTAGACCTAATTTCCAGGCCATACCACATAGAGGGAACCTTCTTGGGTATCTCTTTGGAATTGAGGACATAAGCTGGCAGTTTAAGAAATCTAACAGCTAAACAGCCAGAGTTTGCAAGTTAGAGTAACAGATAGGAAACAGCTGCATAGAGAGAGAGAGCACAG